CTAACCCTCAGGAACTGTGAGATAATAAACGTTTACTTTAAGCTTGGGCTCATCTGCTGCAGTAACTAACCAGGACACCCAGGAACTGATTTCCTGGCCTGTGTCCATCCTCCATGACACCTCCCAACTCCCTTCCCCTTAGGCCGATCTGGAGAAAGAGAGACTCCCTTCCAGGCACCATCCCGTGAGAAAGCTACGTTTCGTCATTGTTGGCTAGACACTCCCTTAGTGGTCCCCACTGCCATGCCCTCATGCTACCACTGAGACCCTCAGCCAGAGAGGGCTAAGATCTGTCCCAAGTGACTCCTGGTTCCCAGCTCTGCCTAGTCACCAGAGCACCCTACCTCCAGAAGGGGTTAGTCCAGCCAGCAGTCCTGGAGGAGGGGCCGATGGCTAGGGCCACTCTGTTTCTGTTCCAGGGACACCCTAGGCATCAGCATCTCTGGGACCCTACCAGGCCTTTTCCTTCCAAGATGCAAATCCCAAAAACTAAACCTGTTGCCCTCGAGTTGACGCTCACTCATGCCAACCCCGTGTACGACAGAGTAGAACTGCTCTGAGGGTTTCCTTGGCTTTAATCTCCACAGAAGCAGATTGCCAGTCCTCTCTTCCGCAGCACCGCTAGGTGAGTTCAGACTGCCAACCGTTAGGTCAGCAGTTGAGGGCAAACTGTTTGCATCACCAGCCCTGTCTAGAGGCTTCTTGGCTGGCACCGCACAGTTGCGTCGACCCAAGCAGTCACTACTGGGGAGTGATAGTGGCAGCCAGTATGTAACAAGCAGGCATTGTGGGCCAGGCCCACTGCTAGCCCATTACACGGATGGGCTCACTTCGTCCCCCCACTGCCCTCTGAGGTGGACCCTGTATCTGCTCTGCCCTATGTCTATAGCCTAAGGGCATACAGGCCCACAGGGGCGTCAGAATGTCAACCCCATCTATCCGGCTCCAAAGCACTAGCTCCTTCCTTCCGCTTCCCCCCACCACGATGATGTCACACAGACCCCGGGCCCCTGCTCACCCCACTCATGGGCCGCTCAGAATCCCCTCCTGTCCTGCCGCTGGGCTTGCTGGGCTGGCTCTGTGCATACTGCGCCTGGCCCGTCAGGCTGCAGAATTGGACCCTGGGCGGCCAGAGAAGGCCTAGCCCTGCCCCAGTGAGCAGCTCCAAGTCCCACAGGAGCTGCAGGAAAACAGAGTGTCAGGCTGTGAGGAGCAGCCCCGTCCTTTGGCCAGCCCTGGGTAGCCTTACCTGCTCCTGGGCCCATCGCCTCCGCTCTATCTCCAGCAGCGCTGTGGGCAGCTCCAGTCCTGGGGGGCAGCCCCAGCCCTCCTGCCCCTGGGGGAGACAGTGCCCCCCGCCCCTCCCCTGCCACAGCACAGCCTGGAGCTGGTCCAGGCCCGCAGGGTAGCAAAAGAGGTGCTGGTACAAAGCCAAAGCCTGCTTGGGGGTACAGGGGAGTCCTAGGCCCTCAGGGGAGGCTGCCTGATCCATGGAGCAGGGGCCAGGGCAGACGTCTCTTCTCTCCTCTTCCTTTAGCTGCCACTGGCGCGTGGGGTGGGGACAAGGAGCAGGAGCTGAGAGTCGTGAGCCAGCAGCAGACAAAGGCTTCTCATCTCAATAATGCAGGACCCGGACACCTGAGCCAGGTGTCCACGCCGGCCTGACTCTTATATGGGTTTCCTGGCCTTGGTGGGCCAGTGTTAGAGTGTGATACTAGCGCAGAGAGGGGTGTGTGTGTGCTTGCGGGCGTGTGTGCACACTTCTATGCAATCTCCATTGAGTATCTGTTGTACATGTTGGTTTGCAACTGCATTATATGGGAATGCAATAAAAAGCAGCAGCCACAGCTGCTAACAGCTTGCTCTGCGCCAGACACAAAGTGCTACGTCCCCACACCCTTCCTCACAATGCTATGAAGCAGTTACTCTTATCCTCATCTTGCAGATAAAACATCCCGGCCCCTGAGAGTGCCTCGTCCAAACACGTGGCAGTGTTTCCCTCCTTGGAGGACATCCTTGTTTATAAAGAAAACAAAAATCCTCACAATTGGACCTACAAGCAGCAACACAATAAATGGAGAAAAGATTGAAGTTGTCAGAGACTTCATATTGCTTGGTTCTACAATCGACCCCAGTAGAAGCAGCAGTCAGGACATTAGATGACGTATGTTGTTGTTGTTATGTGCCATCGAGTCGGACCCAACTCATAGCGACCCCTCCCTTGGGTTTCTGAGGCAGTATCACTACGGAAGTAGATTGCCCCATCTTCCTTCTGAGGAGTGGCTGGTGGGTTTGAACTGCCAGCCTTCTAGTTAGCAGTCAAGTGCCTTAGGCACTATGCTAGATGATGTATAGCACTGGGCAAATCAGCTACAAAGGACCTCTTTCGAGTGCTGAAGAGCAAAGATGTCTCCTTGAGGACTAAGGTATGCCTGACACAAGCCATGGTATTTTCAATCACCTCATATGCATGTGAGAGCTGGACAGTGAATAAAGAAGACGGAAGAAGAGTTGATGCTTTTGAGTTGTGGTGCTGTCAAAGAATGCTGAAAGTACCATGGACTGCTAAAAGAAGTAACAAATCTGTCCTGGAGGAAGTGCAGCTAGAATGCTCCTTGGAGGCGAGAATGGCCAGACTTCGTCTCACCTGCTTTGGTCATAGGAGCTCTGGTAGCATAGTGCCTAAGGCATTTGACTGCTAACTCCTCAGAAGGAAGGTTGGGCAATCTACTTCCGTAGTGATACTGCCTCGGAAACCCAAGGAAGGGACACTGTGAGTGGGGCCGACTTGACAGCACATAACAACAACAACAACTTTGGTCATGTTGTCAGAAGGGACCATTCCCTGGAGAAGGATGTCATGCTTGGTAAGGTGGAGGGTCAATGGAAGAGGGGAAGGCCCTCAATGAGATGGATTGACATGGTGGCAGCAGTGATGGGCTCAAGTATAGCAGGGATCGTGGAGCTGGCGCGGGACTGGGTAGTGTTTCGTTTTGCTGTGCATGGGGTCGCTCTGAGTCGGACACTACTTGATGGCACCTGACAACAGGACAACATGGGACCAGAAGCGAAGGCCACTCTGTCTCCAGGCCATTTCCGGGGCAGGGCGGGGTGGAGCCTGGAAGTAAGTCACAAGAGGAACAAGCCAGCACTGCTCGAGTGCTTGCTGCACGCTAAGCACTGCCCATGGGGCACCGCATTTATTCCTCGACCCCCATGGGTGCACGCTACCACCACCTCATTGTAGAGCTGAGGGAACAATTTACGGAAGTTCTAATAATGGAGATGAATACATGAGACGGCCTATAGTCTGTCCTGTGCTGTCACAAGCAGCTCGGTGAGGGACAAGAGGAAACTCCCCTTCCTGGCCTGAGAGGAGGAGAGCGTGTCCCCAAGCGGGGCAGAGAGAGCAGGGTGCTCTCCAGTTAGCTCAGTGTCCTCTTACTTAAATAAACAGTAAAGGAACATGGTTAGGACACTTGTGATGGGTGTCCTCTCCTGCCCTTCATCCTTGATGAAGAAAACCCTGTGGAAATATGAGGAGCCCAGCAAAGAGAAAGGACCCTCTAATCTTATTGCTAAGGCCCCCAAAACACCAAGGTCACAGAGCCAGTAGGTGGGAGAGAGAAGACTCAAAATCTTGGCTTTTTTCCTATTTCACAACCCATGTCCTCTCTCCTTTAACAATTCTTTGCAGCCTGCACGTGCGTCTGCTGCTCACACCCCATGGGGTGGGATGACTATGAATGTGTGCATGTATGTGTGTGTGTGTGTGCACTTGTGCATACATGCCCAGGTACCCGTATCGTGTCATGGATTGTTGCCTCTCCCTGCCACCACCCCAGGCATGGGGTCCTCATGTCGCCATCCCTCTGAGTGCCTAGGAGGCGCCTGAACACATAGCACCCCAAACCAAAAGGAAAGGGGAGCCTGTTCTGGTACCTAGTGCTGCTCTGACAGGAATACACCACCAATGGGATGGCCTGAACAAACAGGAGTTCGTTCTCTTATAGTTCAGGAGGCTAGAAGTCTGAGTTCCAAGTGCCAGGCTCTAGGGGCTGGGTGAAAGCCCCTTGACCTTGGGCTTCAGCTCTGCCTCCTGCTCCCGGCCCACTGAAGCTGGAGGCATCTCTCCATTCAGGCAGCTGCTAGCAACTGAGGCAGATAAACCCAAGGTTGACAAGTAAAAAGGCACAGTCCCGATGTTACCAAAACACATGGCAGGCCATTCATTGAAGTCCATTGTAAGTCCCAAGGTCGGCAGAGCATGGCAGGCTGCTGAACAACGACTTGGCTACATGCAGCGTTCAAGTGCGCCCTAAGCTGGAGACCATTCCCAAAGCTGTTTCTTATATATAGGAAGCAGACCACCTACCCAAGGGTAGCTACTCAGCTGCTCACAGTAGATTCCACAATGGAGTTGATTGCCAGTCTCATCATGGGGAATACTACATCCAGCTGCCCAGCCACTCAACCAGGCCCAGCCAAGATGATACACCACAGACTTAACTACCACAGAGCCCCTTGTCTAAGACTTCTCAGCCCTACAGGGTCCCAAATGGGGGCTCCAGGTCCCAGCTGCATCACGGTCTGAATACAGGGCTGGAACCAGGACACCTGGCTCCTCCTCAAGCCCTCTGCCTGGTGTAGGGTTTGTCTACACCAGGTGTGGCAAGGAGGGGCAGGCCAGCAGTGTGGGCAGAAGGAGGGAGCAAGGTCCAGGGCTGAGCCCCCTAGCCCCGACTTCTGACTCTGGGGACCCTGATGACTGGGCCCCAAGCCCACACAGCTCCAGGAGGAATCACACAAACACACAAGGAAGCCTCGTGGCCGGCCTAGAGTTTATTGCTTCTCACTCGACACACAGGGGCCTTTGCAGACACAGCCCGGAACCCCAGTGCTGGCCGGGATGCCCTTGGCAGCTCCAGCTACGGCTGGAGCCAGAGGGAGCACCAAGGGGGCACTTCCAGCCTAAGAGTCCTGGCTGAGTGTCTTCTGGCTCAGGGTGCCCTCTGTGGCCCCCAGCCGGAGCTAGATGGAGCACTGGGTGGCAGGTCCCTGGTGAGCAGGACTACGGGGCAGGCTTCGGGGGGGATGCAGTGGGCCTCATGTTCAACCAGGCCTGCGGGGCACTGACAGCCGGGCACGCAAGGCCTCACGCAGTGGGCCGTCAGCTCCCCCAGGGGGATGTGCTGGTTGAAGCAGGTATGGGGACAGGGTGGGCCGCACTCATCAAACACGAAGCCACGGTCCAGGGGGCAGCCCACCACTGAGGAAGAGGGGAGGGCACAGTCAAGGGCCACTCCTGGCTGTTCCACTCCCCAAGCTCACCCGCGGGCCACCCTGTGCTCACCCTGTGCAGACCTGAGCCCTTCCTCTCTGGTCACCCTTCCCCCAACTTGTACCACACTGCCCCTCACCGCAGAGCGTAGGGCCCCGCCAGGCGGGCGTCACTCCTGCCTGGCGACAGTGGCTGGCGTAGGCTTCCAGGACATCACAGAGGCAGGCGTCCCCCGAGGGGCCGGGGCCACAAGCACACAGGTCATACACGCAGGCAGCAAAGAAGGGCTCTGGGGGCACCACAGCATGGCATCGACTAAACGGGGCTGACTTCAGCACTGCACACCGGGCATTGGCCTCACGCCGGGCGCGGTAACCCGCTGTCCTGCACGGATCCACATCGCGGCCTGCAGCACAGGGCCGGCCAGGCCCAGGCCCCTCAGGAACCTAGGCAGGGAGAGTGATGGTGATGCAACAGCACCCCCTGGAGGTCGTGCGAGGTACTGACATTTGTGTGCTCTGGTCCAAACACTGGACACAGCCTCAAAAACCTCTCTTCCAGACGGGCAAAGGAAGCACCATTTACCTTCTCCTTGTTCCCACTTTACAGATGGGGAAGCCCAGGCCCAGAGCAGCTCCGTGACTTGTCCAAGGTCGTACAACAAAAAGCAAACCAAACTCACTGGCCTCAAGTCAATTCTGACTCATAGCAACCCTTCCTTGGGTTTCCGAGGTGGTATCTCTACAGAAGTAGATTGCCCAGTCTTCCTTCCGAGAAGTGGCCGGTGGGTTTGAACCATCAGCTTTCTGGTTAGCAGTCAAATGCCTTAGGCACTACACCACCAGAGGTAGGGTCATACAGTATGTGGGAAAACAGGATTCAGGTTTCAGAGGTCAGGGGACGAGGCTTTTCTAACATACCACTCCGCCTTCCTCCGAACATGACTGGCAAGGGGCCTCAAACCGCCTGAAGGCCTGCAGGCCACCCCAGGCCTCCCTTCCAGCCCAGAGAGCTGCTCTGAGGCTCCGGCTCAGCTGTGCCCCCCGTTTTGCCGGCAACCACTCACCTTCCAGCTATTCCCAAATGCAGCTTCCGTGGGCAGAAGCAGCCCGTCAGGGCCCTGCAGGTCATCCTGGGCAAAGCCGTTGAAGTTCCCACAAAGCCCACAGGTCTGGCCCCGGTAGGAGCCAGGCATTCTCACCTCCACCTGGGACTGCCCGTCCCACAGCACCTGTGCAGAGAGGCCTGGGACTGGGGAAGCGGAGAGACCAAGAAGCCCGAGGAGGCCCCATCCGCCACGTCAGCCCCTGCAAGCTGGGGAGGGGCGTGTACAAGGGGCAGCTCCCATGGAGGGGATGCTGCCCTGGCCGAGCCACCTCGCCCTCATGCCCTCGCCGGCCCTGGGCAAGCACACCCGGCATGAAGGGTGTCTGCCGTTCCCAAGTGAGGGTGCCTGCTTCCGGTGCACCCCAGGTAAAACGCAGCCACCTGCGGGTTGCCTTGGGGCATCCAGGCCTTCAGAAGGCCGAGCAACGAAGTTCACATACGAAGAGTGTGCTGTTAGGTGCCATGGAGTCAGCTCTGACGCACAGAGACCCCACATACAACAGAACGAAACACTGTCCAGTGCTGTGCCAGCCTCACAACCACTGCTACCCATGCCTGAGGCCCCGCTGCAGCCGCCGTGTGTGGTTGTTGTTGTTATGTGCCATCGAGTGGGACCGACTCACAGAGACCCCTCCTTGGGTTTCCGAGGCAGTATCACTAAGGAAGTAGATTGCCCAACCTTCTTTCTGAGGAGTGGCTGGTGGGTTTGAACCACTGGCCTTCTGGTCAGCAGTCAAGTGCTTTAGGCACTATGCGACCAGAGCAGCCACTGTGTAGACATGCCTTATTTTCTCAATTTACAAATTATGCTTAACCGTTGGGAGACCTTGGCTGGCTCAAATGGTAAGTGCTGGACTACTGACCGAAAGGTTGGCGGCTGAAACCCACCCAAAGGTGCCTCCAAAGTCAGACCTGGTGATCAGCTTCTGAAAGGTCACAGTGTCAAAAACCCTATGGCGCAGTCCTACTCTGCGCATGTGGGGTCGGGACTCGGTGGCAACTAACAACAACATCCACTTAGTTTCCAGGCAAGCAGATTACTCTTCCACACCGGAGTCTAAAGGAAACTCGAGTCCTGGCTGAGGCCTCCCCCACCAACCCTTCCCCATTTTACAGATGAGAAAACTGAGGCTTAGAGAGGGTTGGGGACTGGCCTTAGAGCCACAGGGTGTTGGTAGCTGCGCCAGGATTAGAAACCCAGGCTGAGAACTGCACTACCCCCAGAGAGGTCTCCAACGCTGCTTCCTCCCCTCCCCTTCAAGTCCAGCAGACTCAGTCACCTCTGTGGGAGGCCCCGGAGGCAGCTGTTACCCCCACTCCCTCACAGATGCAGAGGTGCTCAGCCTCGCCCGGCCTGGTCCCACACGCACCTGGAGCCCAGGCTGGGCGTGCAGTATCACCTTGCGGCCTCGCAGCTCCACGTACAGCAGCGACCCCTGCAGGAAGGGCAAGGCTGCCGCGCGCCCGTCCACCTGAAGGAAGGGGACGAGAAGGGGTCACGTCCGGAAGAGGCGGGTGGTGCGGGACCCACCTCCTCCGCCGCCGCTGCTCACCGTGACCGCCCCGCCCTGCAGCAGCCGCACGGCCACGCCTCCCAGCAGCACAGCCACCTCCTGCGTCCAAGCCACGCCGCTCCGGCCGCGGTCATTGTTAGTCACGTGGACGCTGTGGGCGCCAGGGATCAGCAGGGACCGGCGTAGGGGGTCAGGGAGAAAGGCGGTGGGGGTGCCCACCTGAAGTCCCCTCCACGGCAGTCCTTGGCCAGCACGTAGCTGCAGCCGCCCTGGAAGTGCAGCAGACGGCCGTCGAAGGTGCGGTAGTGCGGGTCTCCGAAGGCCATGCAGGAGGCGGGCCGGGGCAGGCAGCGTGGGCAGCAGCTGCCGGGACTCAGGACGGGCGCCTTGTCCTGGCCCAGCCCCACACACCGTCAGACACAGGCCTCCGCGCAGACCCTCCCACAGGCCGCAGGACCGCCCAGGACTCTCGGATTTGCACGCCGTGCTCCGAGGCTGAATGCGAGCAGGACTGGGGCGCCACCTGGTGGCCGCATCGGGAACAGCACCATGCCCCGCTCCCTACCCTCGTTCTCTCCTGGCGGGTCCTACTAGTGTGGCGTGAGTTATGCCAACCCCCTCGTCCCGCGGTACTCACAAGGCCACAGGAGAGCGGCGGGCAGCGCTGGCTCTGGCAGCGCACGGTGCCGGCCGTGCAGGAGCAGCTGGTGCAGGCGTCCACGGCCCAGTGCTCCCCAGGGGCCACTTCCCGGCCGTGGTGCACGCAAGACTGAGCAGGGGCTGCGGGGCGGAGCAGGGGAGGGTCAGCGGGCGCCCCGCACCTCGACCCTTCCCTACCACCAATATCCAGAGGGCCGATTGGATGTCAGGCCCCGTGCTGGGCTCAAGGTGTCTGCAGGCGCCTGCGCAAACAGCTGGAGGTGGCCACTTCGGCAGTGCAGTACCCGCTGGTGGACCCAAGGCCCCTGAGCCCACTGACAAGCCCAGGCCAGCCTCCCTCCCCCATCTCTACAAAGGAACAGAGTCCAGGCTGCCCACTTGGTCCACCCCGTCCTTCCTCCCTCTGAGGCTCAGGCTCTGACATCACACCCCTAGGCGGGTGCTTACCCCGGCACACAGGGCAGCAGCTCCCAGAGGGGATGTGGCGCTCTGACGGTGGGCAGCTGAGCTCAGGACAGGCCCGGTGAGTGCAGAGCCATGTCAGGTCCTTTGGCACAAGATAGGTGCAGAACGGGTGACCCCAGGGATCAGAGCTCAGAGCGAGGGAGCAGGGCATGGGTGGGGTGGGGCATAGACAAATCTGACATTCAGGACAAGGGGGTGAGTGTTGGGGTGACTGGGGGGAGGGGTCGCAGTCACGGCCCACAGAGGAGGAAGAGGAGAGGTCTTTGAGAATCTCCAGGGCTGGAAGGGCTCACCTGGCACTGGCAAGTATAGCAGGGGTCCGGCGGGGCCAGCACAGACCCTAGCAGGCCCTCTGTGCAGTTACTCAAGGCTTCTGTGAGGATAAAAGCAGGAACGTGCGGGTGGCGGAGATGAGGAGATACCGTTGAAAACCCACCTGTTCGCACTGACAGTGTCCCCAGACTTCTTGGGCCCAGGACATGCCCAGAGCCCTAGCACCTTGACTCCAGAGAGGTTAAGTCCCCTTTCCCTTTGGTTCCACAAAGCAAAATTTGGACTTTTTAAAAGGAGTTTTACTGGGCTGTTAAAGCCACAAACCAAACCCATTCCTGTTGAGTCAGTCCCAACTCCTGGCCACCCCATGTGTGTTAGAATACAACTGAGCTGCACAGGGTTTGCAACGGCCATGACCTTGCAGAAGTGGGTCACCAGACCTTGCTTCCAAGGCACCTTTGGGTGGGTTTAGAGACCTGGAAGCTAGCCTCCCTCCCACTTCCTTTCACCGGGAAGCCTGAACCTGCCTCCAGCACCCTGTGCCGGTGCCATCTTTTGCAGATTAATCAACCTCTCTGGGCCTCAGTTTCTTCATCTGTGAAAAGGAACTAACAATCCCTACCTCACTGGGTAACTGAGAACTAAATGAGATTAAAAGCACCAAGCACAGCCTGTGGCATATCAAACCTACTGCCGCTGAGTCACTTCCAACTCACAGTGACCCTGCAGGTCAGAGCACAACTGCCCTCTGGGATTTCCAAGGCTGTAAATCTTTATGCCACATGTTTCTGCTGCAGAGTGGCTTGGTGGGTTCAAACCACCAATATATTGGTTAGCAGCCGAGTACTTTAACCACTGTGCCACCAGGGCTCCTGGCCTGTGGGAGATGTTGTTGTTAAGTGCCATCAAGTCAGTGCCAAGTCATAGTGACTCTATGAACGATAGGACAAAACACTGCCCGGTCCTGCACCAGCCTCACAATCCTCGTTTATAGCTGAGCCCATCCTTGCAGCCACTGTGCCAATCCATCTCATTAAGGGTCTTCCCCTTTTTTGCTGACCCTCTCCTTCACCAAGCATAATACCCTTCTCCAGGTGCTGGTCCTTTCTGACAACATGACTGTGGTAGATAAGGTTGTGTGTCAACTTGGCTGGGCCCGGTTCCATGGCTGGGCAGCTGGTGGTAGTTATTCCCCGTGATGAGACTGGCAATCAACTCCATGATGGACTCTACCACAAGCAGCTGAGTAGCTGCTTTAGGGATGTGGTTTGCTTCCTGTATATAAGAAGCAGCTTTGGGAATGGTCTCTAGTTTATGGCACGCTTGAACTCTGCATGTAGCCATGTTGTTGTTCAGCAGCCTGCCATGCTCTGCTGACCTTGGGACTTTCAATGGACTTGCATTAATGGCCTGCCGTGTGGTTTGGTAACATTGGGACTGTGCCTTTTTGCTTGTCAGCCTCAGCACCCCGCAGCTGTCTGAGTGAAGAAATGCCTCTAGCTTCAGTGGGCTGAGAGTAGGAGGCAGAGCTGAAGGCCAAGGTCGAGGGGCTTTGATCCAGCCCCTAGAGCCTGGCACTTTGAACTCAGACTTCTAGCCTCCAAAACTGTAAGAGAATAAACTCATGTTTGTTCAAGCCATCCCATTTGTGGTATCTTCTTTTAGAGTGGCACCAGGTAACCAAAACAATGACCAACGTACGAGAGACAAAGTCTGGCCATTCTCGCTTCTGAGGTGCATTCTGGTTGTACTTCCTCTGAGATATGTGCACATTCTTCTAACAGTCCATGGTGCATTCAGTATTCTTCACCAACACCACATCTCAAATGCATCAATTCTTCTGCAGTCTTCTTTATTCATTGTCCAGTTCTCACACACACACGAGGCTATTGAAAATACCATGGCTTGGGTCAGGAATCTTTGCTCTTTAATGCTTTAAGAGAGGTCTTTTGCAACAGATTTGCCCTATGAAAATTATTTGCTATCTTGACTGCTGCTTCCATGGGCAATGATTGTGGCATATATTGTGCTTAATTAATATATATATATTGTGCTTAATTAATGTGTCTTCTCCTCCTCTGAAGCACATTGTAACATGTGTTGATTAGAATAGCTTTTCCCCTCCCTTAGCCTCCCTGAAGCTGACATTGCCTCTCTGGTCCTCTCATCTCCTCCTCTCTCACCACCTGCTAATGTCTCTGCCCTCAACTATCCAGCATGGACATCACTGCTGCCCTGCAGCGCCACCTGCTGGGAAGGAGGCGCCACAAACCTGAGAGGTGTTAGCATTCAGGCCTAACACCTCAGGGCACACCCAAACCCAAACCAAACTCACTGCCATGGAGTCGGTTCAGACTCATAGCGACCCCTCCTTGGGTTTCTGAGGTGGTATCTCTATGGAAGTAGATTGCCCAGTCTTCCTTCTGAGGAGTGGCTGGTAGGTTTGAACTGCCAGCCTTCTGGTTAGCAGTCAGATGCCTTAGGCACTACGCCACATCAGGGCATGGGCTTCCAGAAAAGTCCACCGGAGTCAGGAAAGGGCTGGGGTTGGGGAGCAGGGTTGGCTCTTCCAGGGTCACCCTGCAGTGGCAGTTGTACCTCGTATTTCCACTCCCCTGCTCCAGCACTTAAGGAGCCCTGGTGGCGCAATGGTTGAGCGCTCAGCTTAACCAAAGGTTGGCGGTTCAAACCCACCACCCACTCTGTGGGAGAACCGACTGAGAATTTGCTGCCATGAAGATTGCAGCCTAGGAAACCCTATGAGGCAGTTCTAGTCTATCATATAGGGTCGCTATGACTTGACAGCACACAGCCACCCCAGAACTCACCGGCACAGGTTGGGCAGCAGTGCTGGGGCCCAGGCGGCAGGAGCTGGCTAGGGGGACAGCCCACCAGGCTAGGGCACTGCCGACGGTGACAGTGCAGGCTGGGGGGCCCCTCGGGCTGTAGCTACGGGAAGAAAGTGATGGTAGTGGGTCCCTAGCCATGGAGGCTGAGACTCCCCTCTTCTCCTGGACTCCAAGTGCCCCATCTGCCTGCTGCACCCCTCTCCAGGTGTGCTCCTCACCGTATGGCCTAATCCCCAAAGATGGTATCCCGTCTGCCTTCCAGTCACTTGGGCCTGAACCCCATGTGACCTCTGACCTTTTGGCACTCACCTACCCAAAGCCACATCCTCCTCCCCAACCCCACTGCCTAATCTGTGATGTCATTTGCCTGCTCAAAATCCTTCCATGGCTCCCCACTACCTTTCAAAGAGGGGCAGCAGGCTCCCACAGCATGGCTCCCGGCTACTTCCCAAGGGCTCCCTCATGCCCTCCTACATACACCCGCCTTACCTTCTGTCCAGGAGCACCTGCCCACTGCTGCCCTACACCTGTGTCTAACCCCAGACCTCCCAACCTCCAGCTCTTCACCTGAAGCCCTGCCTTGCCTCCGGGCTGCAGGGACACATCCTGTCTCTGATCCCATAGTGCTTGGCTAGGCCTCCTCCCAATGCTGCCTCCTCCATGCCCACCAATGCCCCTCGCCTCTGTCACCCTCCATTCAGCCTCACCCTACCTCACAGATGCATACTTCACAGGGGTCCGTCCCAGGCTGGAAGCTCTCCCCCGGCTCATACTTCCGCCCCTTGTGCTCACAGTCTTGGGGGTGGGGGAAGAGAGGGACAGAGACAGGGAGCCTTCAGGGGGGTGCACTGCCACGGGGTAGGGCCTCCATGCCCCAGCTCCACCAGATCCGAGGGACTGGGAGCGGCCCCTTCTCCCTGCAGCCTGTCTCTGCAGCCCTGTTCCCCTCTGAGGGACTCTAACCAGGACAAAGGCTGGGCCTTGTCAGGTGCTGACCCAGCTGAGGGGCCGCCCCCCTGCTCCCCTGCCCCCAGCCCAGGTGCCCAGTACCAGAGCATCTCGGGCAGCAGTCACCGGGTCCCTGGTGGGGCTCGGCACAGGGACTGACACACTGGACACGGGCACAGGTGACGACGCCCTCGTGACACATGCAAGAGGAGCAAGGCTTGTTGGGGGGCAGCCAGCTACTGCCTTCGGGGTGCTCCTCCCCATGAGCCAGGCAGCCTGCAGTCCGTGGAGGGCAGGATCAGCTCTGAGTGCTGACGCACCTCTGTGGTCAGCAGGGGATGTCACGAGCACTGGGGGGGGGGAGGGCCGCGCAGGGATGTGCTGCCAAGGTGGGCTCTCCTGTCTGTGGGGGTGAGGAGCAGCATGGGGAAGGGGAAAAACAGTGGGATGGCCCGAACACCTGCGTTCTATCTGGTCCCATTCCATGCTTGCTTGTCCACAGACCAAGCTCCGGGCAGCAGGCCCAGCCAGGTGCAGCTGGCGCCAGCAGTAGCCCTGGGCCTGCCACAGGTATGGAATAACCACACATGTAACTAATGAACGGCTCCATCCCTAACTCTGTGGCCCTGTACCCAAGGTAACCTATCTGTCCATGCCTCAGCCTCCTCATCTGTTAAATGAGGGCTTCCTCTGTCCTGCAGACCTCCCAGGTCAAGTGAGACGCTGGGAGGGGCGGAGGAGAGCAGGAGCAGGCTGAGTAAGGCTCATGTTCTGGAATCAGACTGCTAGATGGTAATCTTGACTCTGCCACCTTCTGGCTGAGTGACCACAGGCAAGTTACATGCCCTCTCTGGGCCTTAGTGTGCTCTCTTCTGTGAAATGAGAGTAGCAATAAACCAGAAACCAAACTCACTGTCATTGAGTCGATTCTGACTCATAGCGACCCCCATTGGGTTTCCAAGGCCGTATCTCTACGGAAGCAGATTGCCCAGTCTTCCTTCCGCAGAGTGGCTGGTGGGTTTGAACTGCCAACCTTCCGTTAGCAGTTAAATGCCTTAGGCACTACGCCACCAGTGCGCCTTTGTTACTTTTTGAAAGTAACAAAATGAGAATAACCACAGCACCTGGCTAATGAGCTGGTGTGCGTACTGAATGAGATCACGGGTGTAAGGTGCCTGGCACACGGTGTGTGCTCAACACGTTAACCATCATGGTTAGGAACGAGGTGGGTTAGGAAGAGCGGCAACTTTGAGGGGCCTCTAAGCAGCACATGAGGAGCTCTGGTAGCATAGTGCCTAAGGCACTTGACTGCTAACCGTAAGGCTAGCGGTTCAAACCCATGAGCCACTCCTCAGAAGGAAGGTTGGGCAATCTACTTCCATAGTGATACTGCCTTGGCAACCCAAGGAGAGGTTGCTATGAGTCGGGGCCGACTCAGCACATAACAACAACAACAACAAGAAGCAGCACATGGAGGGGAAGGTAATGGTCGGGCAGGACAGGGGCAAGGAAGGGCTGAGGTGGACAAGGGTGGGAGCTCAGGAACCAAGGTGTGGGGCACCAGGAGCAGTGATGGGGGAGCAGGAAGGCTGGGGAAAGGCAGAGGGCAGGACAGAGGGGCAGGGAGAGGTCATGGAGCAGGGTGGCCCCAAGGGGCAGGCATACCTCTGCAGCGAGGGCAGCAGGCCCCCTGCTCCGTGACCCGCAGCCGGCAGGGCAGGGGCGGGCACTGGCGGTGCACACAGCTGACTTGGCCGGCCTGCGGGAGACAAGGGTCAGCCCCTTGAGACCAGGCCCAGCCCCTCGGCCACCTCCCTGACTGTAGCACCCACAGCTGCCCGCAGGGCCCTCCAGCTCCTCCCCACGCTGGTGCTCCTGGCTCCCCAAGAGGCAACCAGCACACTTCCTGGGTGGGGGGACTACAACACCCTGCCACAACACCCTGCCCTGCCCAACTCAGCCTGGCATGGAGGAAGGGATGGGAGATTAGGGATTGGACTGGGATCCTAACCCCAGTACTCCAGGCTGTAATTTCATCTGAAAATAGGCCTTTCATTAACATAACAAGACCACAGCAGCGTATGATAAGCTTAAACCTAATGACTTTTGAGACATGGAAAGAGCAGATTAGACAGGAACAAAAAGAGAACAAACGGGGGGAAAGACACATGCTGGGTGTCGGTCCCTAAGGAGCTCCGGAAAGGACGCTAGAGAAGCTGAGACAAGGATTTCCCTGGAGCTGGCCCAGAGAGCCTTGCCCCCGGAGCCAGTGCCCTGAACTCGGCCTTCCGGCCACCTAAACTGTGAGAATTCAAGTTCCCGTTTGTTGAAGCTACCCACTGTGGCGCTTCTGCTACAGCAGCTAGAGGTGACTAAGTCAAGAGGGTGGGAGAGGTGCAGGGGCTGGGTGCAGAAGCAGCCCACTGTGGCAGACAGCAGAAGCAGAGCCCCGGAGAGGGGTGGAGACAGGGAGCTGGGGGCAGGGCTCCTTCTGACAGAGCACAGAACCTTCCTGTGGAGAGAGGTCATGCTGCACTCGGACTCCCCTGTCACTCCGCCACAGCCTTCACCTGGCTGCACACTGCTCCGGGGTAGGTGCCCCTGCCAGGCCCCGGCCCACCTCCTTGGCTCAGAGCCCTGGACCCAGCCTGGTCCACTACATGTCACAGGCAGAACACACATCCTTGAGATGTGGGTGGAGGTGTGGCCAGCGAGGAGGACCAAGAGATGAAAGGCTCCCAAGTGTCCGAGTGCGCCACCTCACCTGGCAGGTGCAGACAGAGCAGGTGGGGTCACGTGGGTCGGGAAAGGTCTCTCCGGAGTCAGCAGTGACCCCATGATAGAGGCAACCTGGGAAAGAAGGGCCACCATCAACCACCAGTGGGCAGGACTGGGGGACTTCTACCAAAGCCTAGAGTGTCAGAGAAGGGGAGATGTGTGTGGTTGGGAAGGTGAAGGTGGGAGACTTTAGCCAGGTCACCCCCAGTGAAGGGGCCGGAAAATAGCATTGCAGGCGGGAAGACTGGAAGAAGCAAAGGTGAAGAGATGGACTAAACCTGTTGCTGTGGAGTTGATTGACCCATGGTCATAGTGACCTATATAGGGCAGAGGAGAACTGTCTCATGAGGTTTCCAAGCCTGTAACCTTTGGGAAACAGACTGCCACATCTTTTCCCCATGAAGTGGCTGGTGGGTTCGAACCACTGACCTTTTGTTCAGCAGCTGAGCTCTTAAACACTGTGCCACCAGGGCTCCTTAGAGATGGACTACCAAGGGTTTATAATCTGTGGGCCGAGGGCAGGAGGAGGATAGGGAGGGAATTGGTAACACTGGAAAGGAAACAGGAGCTCTGGTGGTGCAGTGGCTAAAGCATCCACCTGCTAACCAAAAGATCTGTGGATCGAACCCATCAGCCACTCCACAAAAGAAAGATGAGGCAGTCTGCTTCCATAAAGATTTATAGCCTTGGAAACCCAATGGGGGTCGCCATGAGTTGGAATCGACTCGATGGCAGTGAGTCTGTTTTTCAGAAAGGAAATAGAACGATGGCCTGGGCAAGGGCAGTGGGGCTAGGGATTCTCAGGAGATGGTGACCGGTTTTGAACAGACCATGGCGTGAGACAATGTAAGAGCAGGAACATTTGGAAGCAAAAGGGCCAGTTATCTGTGAATGCAGTGGTCCAGGGTGAGGGGACAGGGGACAGAGAGGAGTGGATGGATGTGATGGGAGACAAGCCTGAGGAAAAACCCAGGGTGTCTGTGCCGTCTCAGGGGTGGCATGATAAGGGCACACCGGGTGACACTGACCACTGGGAGGCTGGGGCCATGAGGGTAGCCCTACCTACCATGGCAGGTCGGGCAGCAGTGCCCAGATGGGGTCAGTGGGTGGCTGCAGCCTAGAAGCTCACAGGGGCGGTGGCTGCAGGTCACGAAGCCTCCAAGGCAGGTACACAGGTTGCAGGGCTCTCGGGGATCCAGGAACTCCTGGCTGCTCAGGTAGGTCACCCCCAAATATTCACAGCCTACGAGAGAAGAGAGAGAGAGGAGGAGGTGCCAAGAGGGGTGATAGGAGAGCCTGGCCTGGCCTGGCCTGGGCCCAAGGCCTCAAGGCCTGGCTACTAATGCAGGCCCAGAAAGACTGGGCAAAGGAGCCCGGGGTGGGGCTTAAGGTGTTGGACTGGCCAAAGAGCCAACTCCTCGCCATCAGCCTGCACAAACCTCCCTGTCCAACCTGTAGGGAAAATCCCCACAAGAAACCTGTTGCTACACCCTATTGTACATATTCACTCAGCGGGCTGCTGCCAGTCTGAGTAGGACTGGGAACAGCCCGAGATGACTTCAGGGCTGTGGATGCTGGGTCACTCCTTTGCAGTGCTTTCAAATCTCATTAACCCATGATGGGAAAGGGTGGCAAGGGGTGGCAGCCCACCCTTTGACACTCTCTGTTCCTTGCTGACCAACCCCCCCTTTTTTTTTCCTAACAAAGCAAGCCCTAAACTCAAAGTCTTGGCAGAAAAAATACCTGACTAGAATTCATATTTTATATTTAATTGTATTCATTTTTATGGTATCTTCTATTCTTGGCAAAAGATATAATTTTCCATTTCCAGTATACCATAGAGACTTCCTTTCTAAATAAATTTAAATTAAAAAGCGAGTTGATTTAAAGAAGAATACTCAATAAATAATGCAATTGTGATGATAGGACAAGAATGAAGACTGGGAAAGATCTGGTTCAACCCTCTTTTTTTGAAGAAGTTAAAATTAGGCCCAGAGAGGTTGTGTAACTTGATCAAAGTCACACAGCCAAAGAGCATCAGAGGCAGAAGAAAATCCAGGCTGTAGTCCAGTACTTTTTTTTTTTTTTTTTTGCTGGAATATATTTTCAGATCCACCCTAGGGCAGTAAAGATGAAGATGACCCAGTCCCTCACCATCACAGGCGGGGCAGCAGGCGTCCCTGGTGGGGAAGGGACACTGTGCGGGGGCACAGGTCCTGGGCTCGCAGCTCACGCTGCCCTCCCAGCAGAGACAGTCCTGACACGGGGCAGTGGGCGAAGGGAAGCGCTCCCCGCTGGCCAACTCCTTCCCCTGGTACAGGCAGCCTACAGAGGGCGAGGAGGGCAGAAGCTGGGCCAGTAACGGCTTCTCCCAGGCCCACAGCCTCCAGGCGACTGGGCACTGTCCCCCATGTTCTTAACGAGAACCGCGACATAGGAGGCACTGGGCCTAAGGCAGCTGGACACGGGAGGTGACGGTTGGAGAAACTGGTATGGGGGCAGGGCGGGGCCTGGGGCGGGGCGGAGCCACCGGGTAGGTGGTGCCTGGCCGGCAGGGGGCGCGGCACTGAGAGTTACCGTCGCAAGCGGGGCAGCAAGGCCCCCGGCGCGGGTGGGCGCAGGGCGCTGGCTGGCACGGTAGCCGCTGGCAGGACACGGAGCCGTCGAGGCAGAGGCAGCGGCGGCAGGGGTCGTCAGGCGGGGAGAAGTGCTCCTGGTGGCGGGCGGGGGTCGCGCCCCCGGGCAGCGGGCAGCCGGCGGCGGCTGCTGCGGCGAGAGCGCGCGCAGGGAGCGCGCGTCAGGGGCGCAGGGAGGGCGGGGGACCGGGAGCCCGGGGAGAAGGCCCAGGGTGCGGCTCCTACCCGGGCACTGCGGGCAGCACTCTCCCGGAGGCAGGACCGGCTCTGGACAGGTCGGCGGCGGGCAGCGGCGGGCCAGGCACTGCACGTTGCCGGCCTGCGGACGGGCGCCAGGCCGAGTCAGCGCCGGGAGCCCGAGGGGCCCCACCCCGTCCCCGCGGCTCCTCCCCTACCCAGGTCACAGGCTCACCAGGCAGCGACACAGGCGACAAGGATCGGAGGGGTGGGAGAAATCCGCTCCGCTGGGATACTCTTTGCCGGCAAAGGCACAGCCTGGGGCAGGGGGCAGCTACAGGTCTGGGAGGTCCCCACTCCCCGCAGGGGACGCTGCCCTCATGACCCCGGAAGCCTTAGATTCTGCCAAGCCACCCCGGGAGGATCTCCTGCCCCCGGCCCCCAGTCATGTCCACCCACCACTACAGTCGCTCTGGCAGCAGGCACCGGGCAGCGGGTGGGCACAGGCTGCCTTGGGGCAGGCCCGAGGCTGGCAGCGGGCTCGGCCTTCCCGGCATTGACACTCCTGGCAGGGGTCTCGGGGGTGAGAGAAGCTCTGGCCATCCACAAACACCCGGTTCTCCAGGACACAGTCTGGACGGTGGACAGTGGGGACAGGAATGAGGGGGACTGACAGTGCCTCTGCCCTTGGCACCCGAAACCACTGCCAGACTGCCTGCTTGGGAGCTGGGCGGGTGGAGGGGGTCATGCAGACACATTTGAGTCTGTTTGCCTGTGGGCATGTGTTGGTGGTATGCACACTAGCATAGACTCCATGGACAGGGCACATGCCGCCAGGCATCCCGGCACCTTGTTCCCCCATGGCAGACCCAAGTGTTTGTTGCATACTTGTGTTATACAGGTAGATACACAAATGCATTTGAGTGATGTAGTCCCTAAGGCATTTGACTGCTAACCAGAAGGCTGGCAGTTCAAACCCACCAGCCACTCCTCGCAAGGAAGACTGGGCAATCTACTTTCATAGAGACATCACCACGGAAACCCAAGGAGGGCTCACTGAGTTGTATTTGACTCTACAGTAGTGAGTTTGGTTTTTTGGTTTTGTCATGGAGTCTCAGAGAGTTCTATGCTGTGTCAGACTGAAGGCAGAAGGCCTTGGTTGGAAAGGGTCATTTGGGGCCATGGAAGCCAGACGGGTACAGTAAGCACATACCAGGACACCTGGGGCAGCAGTGGCCGGGGCCGCTCTGGGGCCTGTCGCAGGTGGTGGGAGGGCAGTCGACCAAGGAGCAGCTCACAGTCCCATCCTGGAGCAGGAAGAGGGCAAGGTGGGGAGCCCCAGAGGAGCTTGGTTGGGCAGTGGGAGCAACCCGAGAGGCTTGGTAGTGCAACAGGGGTTGATGGGCCACAGAGGGGCTCAGTGGGGCAATGGGGACTGGGCGGGGTGCTCAGTAGACACAGCAGACTCGGAGGGGAGTTACCTGGCAGCGGCAGGCGTGGCAAGGACTGTCCACGTCCGTGAAGTTCTGCCCGTTGGCATACACCTGGCCCCGGTAGGTGCAGTTCTCACAGCCGGGGCAGCAGGCACCTGAGGGAACAGGCTGGTCAGAGCCCTGCTGGGCAAGGCAGGGAAGAAGGCCAGCCCGGGGCAGGGCCACTCACCAGGGGGCTGGGTGGGGTGCTGGCAGGGGACCGGCGGGCAGAGCAGTGCCTTGCACAGGGGCACCCCACCCTGACAGGAGCAGGCAGTGCAGGGCTGACCGTCCGGCTCCCACTGGACACCCTCAGCAAACTCCTCTCCGTCAAGCACACAGGCTGCAGCAGCAAGCTATCACCAGGGACCCAGAGGAGCCCCACCAGACCTGCCCTTCCCAGACCACAGACCTCCCCATCCCCAAGGCAGCCTAGTGGGCTGAGCAGCTCGTCCCTCCCCTGGAGGAGCAACCCCCACCTCCAGCCACCATGGAAGCAGCGCCCCTCCCTGCTGTCCTCCCACCCCCGACCCAGTACCACACATACACACCTGAGCAGAGCTGGGGGGCAGCATCCAATAGGGCACAGGGGGCCACCGGGCATGCCTGCTCCTCACAGGACACCTCGCCAGCCTAGAGGGGAGGCTAGGTGAGAGGCCCTAGAGGAGGGAGGCAGAGGAGGCCAACCAGGCAGGACTCCATACCTGGCAGAGGCAGCGGGCACAGCGGCCACTCTCTTGGGGTCTGAAGGTCTCCTGGCTCTGATACTGGTGCCCCTGATACTCACAACCTGACAAGGGGATGGAGGTACAGGGCAGGAGGCTGGTGGGGAAACTCCTGCCAGCCCAAAGCATCCGCCCTCTCCTGACAGGGACACCACCCCTGTCACCAAAGCATAGGCCTCACCCGGTGCCATTTGCCATGAGAGAGTGAGGTGATAGGAGCTTGGGTTTACCAAGTGTTTTCTGGATTTGAGTTCCAGGGGCTTCATGAAAATCTGGGGGAGCCTCTCTCCAGCCAGTTCTAGCCCCTCCCCAAGATTCACCCCACTCACCCTCACAGACTGGACAGCACTGTCCAGGGCTCCTGCCCGGGTGTCTGCAGGGCACAGGTGGGCAGGGCAGAGGCTCACACTGGACACTCCCATTCTGCCAACAGGGCCCAGTCAGTGACCAAGAGGCAGGCCCCGGCCAGCCCTCCCCACGGGGCAGCTCCACTCACAGTGCAGCGGCAGTGTGAGCAGGCATCCCCAGAGCCCACGGGCTCCCCACTGCGGTACTCCCGCCCATTTAGGAAGCAGCCTGTGGGGCAGAAAGGGGACCTTAGACATTTCTCAGGGTCCCCTCACTGCCCCCGTCCTGGCCTTCACGGGAGACCCGAGCTGTGCCGCCCCAATAGCTTCCTGCGCCTCTCCTGGTTGCCTGCCATGCCCAGGACCCTGCCCTACCCACTGACTCACCATCACACACGGGGCAGCAGGTGCCTGGGAGAGGCCGGGCCGGATATGGGCACAGGCTGGCACACTCCTGCTGGTGGCACTGGACATGGCCCTCCTGGTGGGGGGGAGGTAGGCATGGAGAGGGACCATCAGGGCCCAGTCAGGTGGCAGAAAGTGATTCAAACCACTTCCTTGATTTGTAGCCTAGCATGTTATGTACATAGACCAGGAGGCTGTCGAAGGGAGTGCATCAGGGCTGTATCCTTTCACCATATTTATTCAGTCTGTATGCTGAGCAAATAATCCAGAAAGCTGGACTGTATGAAGAACTTCATATATTCACGTATTTAGGATTGAAGGAAGGCTCATTAACAACCTGAGATATGCAGATGACACAGCCTTCAATATGCAGATAACATCAACTTGCTTGCTGAAGGTGAAGAGGAGTTGAAGCACTTACTGATAAAGATCGACGAATACAGTCTGCAGTATGGATAAGCAGCAGTCAAGACATAAGATGATGTATTGCACTGGGCAAATCTGCTGCAAAAGACCTCTTTAAAGTGCTGAAGAGCAAAGATGTCACTTTGAAGACTAAGGTGTGCCTAACTCAAGCCATGGTATTTTCAGTTACCTCATGTACGTGTGAAAGCTGGACAATGAATAAGGAAGACCAAAGGAGAGTTGATGCCTTTAAATTGTGGTGTTGGCAAAGAATACTGAGAATACTGTGGACTTCCAGAAGAACTAACAAATCTGTCCTGGAAAAATTGCAGCTGGAATGTTCCTTGGAAGTGAGAATGGCCAGACTTCATCTCACCTACTTTGGCCATGTTGTCAGAAGGGACTATTCCCTGGAGAAGAGTGTAATGATTGGTAGAATAGAGGGTCAGCAAAAAACGGAAGACCCCCCAAAGAGATGGATTGACATGGTGGTTGTAATGATGGGCTCAAGTATAGCAAGGATTGTGAGACTGGCCAGGACTAGACAGTGATTCGTTGTGTTGTACACAGGGTCGCTGTGAGTCAGAGCCGCCTTGACGGCACCTAACAACAACAACATGTTAAAGGAGCTCTGATAGTGCAGTGGTTAAAATGCTTGGCTGCTGACAGGTTGAGGTTTGAATCCCGTGGCTGCTCTCTGGGAGAAAAATGAGGCAGTGTGCTTCCATAAAGATTTACAGCCTTGGAGGCCCTATGGGACAGTTC